AAGCATGGTACCATCAAATCCGTTTAGTGGAAGAGGATGAACCCAAAACTGCATTTAAAACACACCAGGGGCACTTTCAGTTCAGAGTTCTACCATATGGAGTGTCAGGGGGACCGGCTACATTTCAAAACAATATGAACTCGATGCTGAGTCCGACGTTGCGCCATGGAGTTCTAGCGTTCATGGATGACATATTGATCCATTCCAGCACATTTTTTGGGCACTTGGCACTGTTACGACAAGTGCTGCAACTCCCCAAAACAATCAATTGCATGCGAAGCATTCAAAATGCTCATCTGCACAACGGCAGATTAATTATCTAGGACATTGAATGAGTGGGCAAGGGGTGTCAACTCTAAATGAACACATTCAGACTGTGCAGAGTTGGGAACGACCACAAACAGTGAAACAACTCCTCGGACTCCTCGGACTAGCGGGCTATTATAGGAAGTTTGTGCGCAACTTTAGAATTCTTAGTCGACCTTTAAATGATCTATTGAAGAAGAATACATTGTTTATACAGAATCCAATAGCAGAACAAGCATTTCAAGCTCTGAAGAAAGCCCTCGTGGAAGCACCAGTACTAGTTCTGCCAGATTTCACCAATAAATTTGTGGTTGAGACACACGCAAGTGCCACGGGAGTAGGGGCAGTGTTGATGCAAGAGGGGCACCCGGTGGCTTATCTCAGTAGGGCACTTGCACCCCGGAATTTGGGACTCTTAGCGTATGCAAAGGAATGCTTAGCTCTTCTGATGGTTGTTGATCATTGGCGTCCCTATTTACAACATTCAGAGTTCCTCATTTGCACGGATCAACGTAGTCTCTTGAATCTGACAAATCAACCTCTCAATACCCCAATTCAACAAAGAGCCTTTACAAAGCTAGTGGGATTGCAGTTCCAGATCTAGTATAAACCTGGGGTGACGAACCAGGCAGCAAATGCGTTGTCTCGCAAGATTCCCGATGACCAAGCAGAGCTTGCAACACTCTCGGTGTGTCGCCCCCGTGTGGCTCAAAGCTATTTTGGCCAACTACCGACAGGACGTAGTAGCTCAACAACGCATAACTAAACTAGCACTGCAAGCAGACTGTGAAGAAGGATTTGCCCTTAAGGGCGGTGTGATTAGATTTAACGATCGTATCTGGATTGGAGATGACCCAGAAATACAAACATCACTGATCAAAGCACTTCATGACAGTGCAATAGGGGGTCACTCCGGATTTCACACGACGTACAACCGGGTGAAACGTCTGTTTGCTTGGAAAGGGATGAAGGACATGGTCAAGAAGTGGGTGCACGAATGCAACATCTGTCAGCAGGAAAAAACAAAAAGGATCTCGCCGGCCGGGCTGTTACTACTGCCAATTCCTCAGCGTCCTTGGGCGGTGGTCTTGCTAGATTTCATCAAGGGGTTGCCTAAGTCTAGTGGATATGATGTGATAATGGTGGTCGTGGATAAATTTTCAAAGTATGCCCATTTCGTGCCAATGAAACATCCCTTCACAGCCTTGACAGTGGCTACCTTGTTCATGGATCACATCTTCGGGTTGCATGGCCTGCCATTGGCATTGATTTTCGACACGGATCGCATCTTCACCAGCACACTATGGCAAGAGTTGTTCAGGGTATCCAAAACACAACTGCGTATGAGTTCTTCATACCATCCGCAAACGGATGGCCAGACAGAACGCGTTAACCAATGCCTTGAAACATATCACCGATGCTCAGTACATGCCTGCCCAAAAAATTGGCTCAAGTGGTTATTTCTCGCAGAATATTGGTACAACACGACCTTCCACTCTGCGCTGGGGAGAACTCCGTTTGAAGTCATCTACGGGACACTACCGCGGGAATTTGGAGTTACACAGGTGGATGAATGTTCTGTTCCTGATTTGGAGAGTTGGCTCCGAGAGCGAGAGGTCATGCGGGAGCTGCTGCAACAGCAACTGAAGCGCGCCCAAGATCGTATGAAGGAGCAAGCAGATAAGCACTGCACTGATAGAGAGTTTCAGGTTGGCGACAGTGTGTACCTTCATTTGCAGCCCTTCATTCAGATGTCAGTTGCTCAGAGACTATATCAAAAACTTGCATTTCGATATTTTGGACCGTACAAGATCCTGGCTCGTGTGCGCACAGTTGCTTACAAGCTGAAATTGCTTGAAGGGAGCAAGATACACCTGGTGGTGCACATATCACAGCTTAAGAAAGCTTTTGGATCAGGTATGCCAGCCTCGAACAACTTGCCACCAGTGGGAAGAGCTGCCACAATCTCTGGCTACTTGGGAAGACCCAGTGCATCTGCGACAGCAGTTTCCGGCATCACCGGCTTGGGGCAAGCCGG